TCTGAGTCGGGTTCTCTCCACCAAAGTTGCTCGTTGAGCATTAGGTCTTTATCTGACTTAAGGAGCTGTGGAGCTCCGCTACAGAAACCGCTTCGAGCGTCCAATACATCGCCACTTATTCTACGCAACCTTTGTAACATGCTATCTGTAGGAAATGAATAAAGTATGGTGAATGACTACTATATAAAAAAGCGCTCCAGACGCGTTTCGGCCCCCTGCCAAAAGACTCGTCAGTGGCTTTATCAATCTAGCAGTAAGATCTTTCTCTGTCCTGCTCTCAACGACTGAAATTCTTCTCGAACTTAGTGTACCCATACAATTCTCCTCCATAACTACCAACCTGGCAGCTGGGGCGTCGACCCGAAAGGGAGTGTTCGCTATAATATCTCCACACCCAACACTATCACTATGATACAACAACGGCTTAGGTGCGTGTAGCATGTGATGTACCACTTATTTAATCAATGTCGCTTTAGCCACCAATGATAAGTATCAAGTCTTACTCTAATAGAAAGTAAAATCTTACATTTTGGTAAATATGCAGGATTCATCTTCATGTAACAAATTACGAAACACTAGCTCGCATTTTAAATATAAAAGAAATATGCCTTACTAAGGCGTCTTTAGTCTTTAGACTTAATAGACATTTTAAATGATGTACTCGTTAGTAATTGTGTCCATATTATGTTGAGTCGTAAACGTCCCTTGGACCAGGTTCAAAAGGTCAGCGAGCTAAGTAGACTCGTCGTCTTGTTCTTGCTAAAAAACGAAGTAGATAGTTAAGATCAAAGACTTATCTGGAAATGGAGCTGTTGTAGCTGCTCTACAGCCTCAGAAATCCGTTATTCGTCTGCGTTATTCTGCATCTGACCATTGTATTGACATCGCATAATCCCCGCTGCAACTATAGTCTGATTTTTGTAGCTCATTTTACTCTCTCTCATTCCAAAAGATTAATTGACCCAATCTTCGCCAACGATTCTTTGTGGTTTTATCGTTGACGACTAAAATAAAGTCTCGGCGCAAATGCTATATCATTTTGTCAATCAAATCATGCTTGCACTATAAATACACGTAAACATGAAATCAATGTGTAAGTTTATCGAATATTTAGGGCTTATGGACAAACATTTGCTGTGCCTAGCGTTTATTCAACTACTTTGCTGTGAAAAGAACAGTAAACTTTCGTACTAACGAGCATATCATTAAAAAAGTCTACTAAGTCTAATGATGAAAGACGCATATGTAAGGCACGTGTCTTTTTTATCACCTTTCCCGCCCACTCTTGGCTTATTACTCGACTGCCTACAAACATGTGCATGTCAATATGGCGGAAGATGTAGAAGATGCGAAAGCTAGGTAAATAGTAGCCTGATCCTAATTTAAGAAGCTGCATGTCTGGGTCCCGCGAAAGTATGTAAAGAGGCGAAAATATAGATTGAGAAGGATCTGAAAGTACAATATAAGCAGCTGCGTGTCTAAGATTTCTCAAAATAGCCTAGGCTTTGACATTTCGACGTCTTGCGCGTAAACTTTGATTATTTGACGCAAATAAGGAAAGACTGGCTTTGCATGCCAGAAATAATCGCATTTACGTTTGAGTATGAAATCTTGCTTCCCACACGCGTATCTTTGCTGTCAATTACGATTCACTCACAAGCACCAGCTGCATATGAAATCACTGAAGAGATCAGATAGACACGTTTGCAGCTCCATATTGTGTACGTGCTATAAGAATTAAGCATTCCAAGGTGAAATACCATGCATAAATAAGATTGGAAGTACTTGGGGACAATATCTTTTGTTCTACAACAAAGCGCAGCACTTTATATTGATCATGAAACTTTCCGATATTTTGTGCATAAATATACAGAGCACCTATCTTTACATTTATCAGGTTGAGTAAAGTTACAAAACGCCTATCTCTATGTACTCAGTTTGCGCTCACTTTGCTATCTGCAGTATAAACGATTGATTTACTCCAAACCAGAAGGAAGTATATAGAGCTGTTGTTATTTTATTTGCAACTTCTTATCTATTAAGCTTGTCTAGTTCAGTTGACAGCAATTTATCTGCACATTAACGTGCACGTGTGGAACCGAGGTCCCCGATACAAACCTTTATGTGTAGGTTTTACTATGGTGATCCTGTTGCTATATATTGCCTATTTGTAAGGTTTAGGCAATAAAGATTACAATATTGGATATTGTTTCCGCAACATCATTACCTACATTGAAACGTTGCGGTGATTCAATGGTCTACTCAATGGTTGATATCGGCCATCATTAATAATACACTGATATCTACTTGACGCGCGCAATAGGTCGTGATCAGATGTCACTATAAATGATTGTAAATCGATAAATTAAAGTTTGGACTTGTTGATGGGACAAATTCAGGACTCGATTAATTTTACTAAGCATTTTACTTTTTCTACTACTTTGCGTTGTCCTTCCTCTGCGTACGTGTACGTAACTAGCAGGACACTAGCCCACACTGTTGTCAGAGAGTATTAGCTATGTACTAAATTCAGTGTTGGTTGCTGGCACTTTCTCAATGGTAAAAAATGAGAAACTAGATTTATTTCGGGCTTGTTATCGGCACTTACCTGTTTGTCCCTCACAACCGATCATGTATGTAAATCCATGAGATGCTCCGCACGTTCCTAGCATCGCGCCCCTTCAACATCGTCATCAGTCGCGCTCTTACAACAGTCAGTGCGTAGCCACTAGTGCCCCATTCCATAAGTAGCTTACACTATCATTGTATAAGTTTTACGTGCCATCTGACATCAATTTACGCAACGAAAGACGGGACATTTTTAGCTCTAGTCTGATGCATATTACATATTTTTTGCATAGTGCAGGGCCTAGCTTTGTCACACGTCGGTGACGACAAACTGATACATCGATGTTTCATAATATGGATTATATCCCGCCAGTGTGACTCATTTTACGTAAAATGTTTCTTGTCTTATACTGAACCAGGGAAAGTGATCGCTTATCTCATTCAAGATACCTTCTTCTTAAAGCTTCTCCATTCTAAAGATCAAGCGAACACAGCGCGTAGATTGTACATAGTCTGATCGTGTAGCATGGTGAGCCCGTTATACGTCATTGGCACCAAAATGGATTAAAACGACAATTGTCTTGATTGACAATATTTTATAATATCTTCCGTTTTCTTAAATATAACGGGAATATTACCGTCGAAGGAAATACTCGGCTCTGCTCCACTCATTGGTTGACGGAGGCCAAAATGTCCGCCAAAACCCCACCAATCGCTGCTAGACACGTGTAATGGGTGGCGAGCGAGGGGGCATTGCAGGAAAATGTAGAGTAATAGCGGCAAAGTAAGACAAAAAAGATGTACTAAACGAAACTTCTACCGTATGTCTACTACAGTGCTGTTTTTCCTTCTTCATCAAGTGCTCGTTTAGTAGACTCACCTGCCTCTCACATTCAGTGTTCGTGAGGTATTGCGACACCTGTCTACATTGTGGCCAGTGTTGATAGCTGGCGTACTGCGTCAGGACAAGCGTCTGGCACTCCGTTCTAGACCGTTGTTTCTCTGGCGGAAGGCGAGTTAAGTCATTGTATCCTCGAATCGCCAGTGGTGTATGGTACAGCATACGACAGCAGTCGTTTGTTCGGGTATTCCAGCGATGTGACAAGGCAGTAAGGCACAGGCGGGCGTTTTTGTCACACGCGCGTACATGCAACATTTACTATACGCGCAAAAGCCCTGCAAGCCCGATGTAGCTCGTACTTCGTCCATCTGATTAAATAGAGACGCTCATTCGACATTTTCTAGCGTCCCAGTCCTGTCGTGTCTTGCAGGGTACAACGATACGCAGGGGCCTTGTCCTTTTGTATCTTTATGCCCTGTAAGTGACAGCCCGGAAGTCTGAAAGTCTGAAAGACTCAAAGCCAAGAGTGTACATCCGTGCAGCAGATGTTCGTTTTGACTTTGTTGCATTTAGGAAGCAGAGCAGCAACTGAATGTGCTTACGAGAACATGCGTGCTCTTCAGCAGGCAGTTATTCGCCAAGTGATTCACATTAGCTGCTGTCCCTTTTGTTACACATCCCGTGACAACGCGGTGGCGCCTAACGGGGTGTTTCCAGCGCAGCAAGAGTTTCTGGATCGCTAATAGAGGAGCTTGTCTCTACGCCTTCCCTGACTTGTCAGTCGGCTACAAGGACCGAGAGCCGACTTGAAGATGGCGGCCCCGGTAACCTCCTCGGCAGTAGACACGTGTCGCACGAGCTGTAGACCAAATGCCGCCTCAAAAAGGGACCGCACTTCTATCCAGTAAGCTGTTGTTGTCAGTCGAGAAAGTGCGCGCAATCGACAACATGTCAACAGGCGACGAGGAGATCGGCGTGTCTTTGTAACATGTCGATTCCGACATCACTGCAACAAGGCGTCAGTCAGGCTTTATCTTCCTCATTGACCACAGCAGCAGTATACAGAGTCGATCGAACGAATCGCGCTGCAGTTCATTCAACTCTCGACGATCGAAAGTCGGGCGTTTGCGACAACTGGTGTCAATCGCTATAATGTATGTGTCGTCAGAGGTTGACAGCAGCTGTCGACTTGCTGCGAGATCCGCTACAGAAGTCGACTGCAGCGCAACAAATTGTTTCGCGTCCGTCACGTGTGTCCAACGCCCTTTCGATTCATCGCTCACACTTTCACTCGCCAACATCTTTTTCGTTTTCGCTGCCTCTCCACACGCACTTGCAGTCTCGACTACCACTGCCCCCACCAACGTCAGGCTCTTATCCGCCTGCGACTCGCCCGCGTTTGTCGAAAATTACACCGCTCCGTGGCACACCCGACCGATTATTACCGGATTGCGATTCTGACCGGTAGCAGCTGTTCCATCGATCGACAAAGAGGAGGCCGTTAAAACCTGTCAGACTTAGTACTCCGTCCACTGCTCGGAATTCGGACAAAACGAATTTCGGAAAAAGTTCAGAGCGTGTGGCGATCGACATGGACGACGCCGTCACGACGCCGACAAAGGACCTCACGGCTGTTGCCGACGCGGCGAAACTGTCGGAGCGCAAGCGCCTCAAGCACCGCGAATACGTCAAGAAGTCGTACAAGAAGAAACTCGTGCGTTGTGCGCTGCTCGCTGTCGCGGCCGCCGTCCTGCGGTCGCGACGGTCGACTGGTCATCATAGGAAGTTGTGCTCATGTTTGAATGCGGTGGTTATAACTTGTTTGGCTGTGAACATCGATTGCAACAGACGACACTGGAGAACCTCCGACGGGAGCTGGACGACCTCGACCACCAGTACTCGTCCATGTTGCTATTGGAAATGGGGAAACGGCTGCCCCAGCAGCTGTACGACGAGCGAGCGCAGACGGCCGGCAGCGCCCAGACGCTGACGATGCAGAAGTACCTCAAGGCTACGGAACTCAAGAAATTGTATCGACAGGAGAACGACCGCCTGTATCAGCTTAATGCGTGCCACATGAAAGTCGAGAGCCGGATGGGGCAGCTGCTTGACGCCTCGGAAGCTGCAAAAGTCCCGCTGCACCGAGTCCCTGCTTCTCGCCAATACCGCATCTCGCCGCTGCCTGCATCTGCGTACGCCAAATTGATCGATGAGGCGACAGCGGACGTGCTGTGCTTTGCGCGCAACCCAGTAAAATACAGCACGGGGGCTCGAGTTCTTGGCTGGACAGACCAGCGCGAGATTCGCGAGTGCAAGCTGGAGTTTGCGCTGCAAAAGGAAATCAGCCTGTCGCCCCGTGTCTTGCTGGACCGGTGCTGGTCGATTTTCTCGAATCCAGAGGAGTTTGCGAAGATTTATGGCTCAGCTCTGGATGTGCAGTTTCACGTGCTGCAGCACATCGATGAGAACACGATCCTCTTGTACCGACGCATTGCCCCGCCAGCAGACGGCATGCGAGAAGTCAAGAGTATCTTCTTGCTTGCAAAGCGGCCCGTTAGCGAAGGGTTTTTGCTGCTCTTTCGGTCCATTGATAAGGATCTTGTCCACTTCAAAGAGGTGGACGTTGATGGCGAACCGCAGCACTATGTGGACTCGGAGTCAGCCCTCAAGTTGATGAGCTCTGAAATGTGGGTGGAAAAGTACATCTGGGACCTGTTTTACAACGTCCCGAAAGAGCCCGAGAAGTGCCTGTTCCAGTTTGGCGGGGCCACTACAACTTCGCTCTGGCTGCGCGAAGTACTGTTTATTGCGGTTCGATGGGAGAACATGGCCGTGGGCTCACAGTTCTCACTGACTGCCGATTGAGCTCAGTCGAGTGCGGGGGAGAGAGGTTGTATTTTTTTGAGTCGATCTATCGTAATATGTTTATAGTTGACTGGCCGTTGCGCTGCGCATTTGTAATACAATGAAGGAGCTTCGCGTGTGACTATGCTGCAACGTCGTACCCTCAGCGGTCCGTCCTCCGCCCTCGTCATGCTCTTCCAGCACACATAACGAACACACGTACCGAGCGAACGGTCATGGGCCCTCGAACATAGAAAGCAGCACGCCGCAACTCGAGATAAATGTCTCGGCATGCACAGCGAGGCCATTCTTGCATGCGGCTCTATGTTGAACGAGTACAACGCATCTGCTGGAGCAATAGCGTGTCACGTCATCGCTTCCTGTCGAAAGGCACGACATCGCGCCGGATGTTTTCGACACGTCGTCGTGTGATCGCCCGCGGCAAAATACGTGGTGTCCCTCTTGTGACCTGCACGTATTTGTCGTGCAGCTTCTACATCCGAATTGCTTAGTCTCAGCTCGTGGCAAGTATCGGGTGTCTCGAGACGTAGCGATACAGCTGCAAGTGATATATGCAGACAGTGCGAGCAACAGCTGCCTCATTTACGCAGCACGTGTTGCTCAGCGCGGTATTCTGTGTCTCTGGTCAGAAGAGTTCCGAGCGCCGGAGCAAAGCTCTGCGCACGCGATGGGCAAATGAAGACGAGGAAACAATCAGCTCAGTGCATACGCGCGGTACCCATCGCTTCCGAATCCGAAGCAGGTGCACTCCCATGATGGATAGCGCAGTACCGCGAAGTAATGCAATCATTCGAACAAGAACTTCGGTCGCACATGTGCGTCCCGAGGAACGTCGTAACACACTGATGAACGACAGACTGTCCAACAGCTATTCGCGTACCTGCGCCGCGTACTACGTGTGTCGAACTTTGACGCTCTAGAAAAGCGCACAATGACGTTGTCGTCGTCCTACGTGAGCACTAGAGACGGTGTAAACGCCTGTGTTTCGATTCTGTTAAGCGATGCAAAGCCCGCGCTTTCGAATGTTCTCTGCAGCGTTCACACGTGTTGCGCTCTTCCACAGACCCATGCGATGACAGGTGCAAACCTGCAAGGACAGAGCCCACGAGTGGGGGTGCCGTCCTGCGAGACTGCACCCACCTGCCTCAAGAAATAGCAAACGTAAAAAGAGTGAGCGATCGTCGTGAGTGATGCTTCGACTCCGTCGCAGCCGTGATCAGCAAGAAAGTCACGGTTGAAGGGCTGCGTGGTAGCACGGCGCGGTCAGAGGTAGCTGGACGATGCACTCGAGCGTGCTTGTCGACTGAAAGTATCTGCGTTTATCTCGTCAGCAGCGCTGCTACTGTGCTACCGATCTTCCCATGCAGCAAGTTTTCGCCTCTACGAAAGCCAATGTCGAGTACCCTGTGTCCAGCACTGTAGCTAGCTTCCAGGCAGCCACCCTTCCAGCATGCATCCTACTGCTTCACGCGAGTCGGCCATCGGAAAAAGAGACGCAAAGCCGCGAAGAAGAGGAAGTATCCAATACGGAGCAAACTCCCCCCACGATCCCTCAAACTGACCAAACGAGGAGACATGGCACTGACCACCTGCAAACAGATAACAAGCTGATTTTTCCTGCTTGTTGTACACGCCCAGCAAGCTCCTTTCCAAGCTATCGATCCACACGGGCTCGCACGAGTCGAGCAGATAGCTGAACGATACTGCTCGAAACGGTCTGCAAACGGTCGTGGAACATCCTGGCACGTATCCTTGAATCAGCTCGTAAACGTCGCCAGCGTTCTATGTTACCTGGACGAGACCGGCTCCGGGCGTAATTAATGGGCGAAGCATTGACCGATCTCGTTTGAGCTTCACGCTCCCGCAGCTCATAAACACGCAATACTAACGACTCTTCTCATCGTGCAGTCCGTCTGTGGTCACGTTGAACGTCTGTCATCTCTCTCGCGACACTCGGCATTGGTCGTGTGCATGCAACAGCTGAACTCGGTTTGCATTCGCTGACAAGGACTAGTGCAGTCCTGATTCGCGTCTTCACTGCTGGAATATGGTCAAAACAGGGGGCAGCAATACCTGCTTCCCATGCGCCTGACTACCTGCGGTGGGCACGCACAGCTTTCGGTCCAGTCGTACCCTGTAGTATGGCAAAAAAAAGCGGATCATCGCTAGGATGATGAAGCCAGAGACAGCGATGGCAACGCCGTTTTGCAGAAGACAGTGAGCGCAAGAGTCCGCGTCCGCGTCACATCTGCTGTTGTTTGACATGAGCGCAGTAATGCGCCTTTCCGCGTGGCTTCCGACGCATCTCTTGGCCGTCGTCAGACATGATTACAACCACGTGGAAGAACGTCCTCTTGTTGCTGCTGCTGCTGCTGCTGTTCGAAGCGTCCGAACCCGAGGCGGCTCTTTTGCTTGGAAAGGGGCGCGGCGAATCTTTGCTTGAACGGCTGCGTGCGTCAGATTTGAAAGGCCACCACGAGCACAGTCCTGCTGGACAGAAGACGCACTGACCTCTGACAGGAAGGCGCTGACCTCGTTTCTCCACCCCAAGCGTCACCGCCCCGAGGTCGTTGCACCAACATGGCGATATAGCAGCCAGCCTGTCCCATGCAAAGTCGTTCGTAGTACTAGCAGAAGATGGTGAAGAAGTAGACTCTGGCCCTTCACTTCTTCGACTCACTCGATGATGCAGTCGTCGCGTGGCGTGCGATACGTCACGATGTGAGACAGAGACTGCTGTGAGTTCATTGATCGCACGTGAGCGCATTCATTCGCACAGATCTGCCTCTGCCAGCGACAAGTGCATCTGCTTTCCATAACCTGTGACAGCTCCATGAACGATAGTCCGAACAATGATACGCACGTGGTCTGCACGTCGTGGCCATCATCCGGTCGATGGAGACTTTGAATCGCCGTACGTCCAGCGCTGAGCCTCCCACTCTTTGGCCTCGTAGCGCACATAGAGGCGGCTCGGAATCTTTTCGTCTGCGGCGCGGCGGCAGCTATAAGGTTAACCTTCTAAAGTCGCCGCTACGACCTCCGAACGTTGTCAGCGCGTTGGATCAATTCCTCGATCGATCGATCGGTCGACCCACCGACCGACCGATCGATCGATCGAGGGACGAAGGCACGCGCCTCTTCTTCTCCATGTTTTCCCTTCTTCCGTCCTTCGTCCCCTCCTCTTCTTCTTCTTCTTCTTCTTCGGTCCTTCGTCCCCTCCTCCTCCTCCTCTTCTTTCTTCTTCTTCTTCTTCTTCCATCGCTTCCTTTTGCACGCGCACGTCGCGCGGAATGAGTTCATTCTCGGATTCCCCTGCAACGTCCGACTCCCCCACTTCCCCCACCTCTTCTTCGCCTGATCTCGTTGAGGTCGGCCTTACCTCGTCCGCCATGTCGACTGCCATCGCCGCCACTGCTGCCAATGCCTACTCGGGGCAGAGCATGTCGGACTTACCCGTGCAGCCGCTGTCCATCTCGCTCGACTTTTTCGACATGAACGACATGAACGTCGTCGCGCACCACCACACGCCGCTGTCGTCGGCGTCGTCTTCGTGCTCGGAGCAGAGCAAATCCCGTCGACAGTCTTCAAAGTTAAAGAGACGCAACAGCAGTAGCAGCAACAGCAGCTGCAGTCTCAAAGTGCCGTCGGCCAAGCGCCTCTCGAACGAGGAGAAGCAGGCCAAGAACCGCCTCTTTGTCAAGCGGTGCTACTACAAGAAGCGCGAAGCCCTCAAGAGTCTGCGCGAACAAGTGGCCGAGCTCGAGACCGAGTTCGCGTCGGTGCTGCAGCACTGGCAGCAGCAGCACCAACACGCCGCCGAAGCCTTTCGCGACGGCAAGCGCTGCATCACTGGCCAAGACCTCTACGCAGAGCTCACGACCGTGCGGGGCGCGCTCATTGAAGAGCAGCAGCAGCTCAATGTGCGACTTGCGGACCGCCACCTCTTCCGCCAACGCCTCCAGCAGCTCTACGAACCTACGCGCTGAGCGAAGCTGAGCTGAGCTAAGCTGAGCTGGTTGAAGGACCAGCTACTGCTGCTACGGTTTTTTGCAACTGGGTGTACTGCATTCACGGCCCAATGCCGCGTGGAGGCGGTCGAAGCGGCCGTGTTTGGCCGCTGCCCAGCCAGAAGCCGTCGTTTCCTGTGTATTGTGATCGTACCCACTCGATTGGCGCCACGCGCGCGTCACTTGACATTGGGTCGGCCTTTTATTTAACGACAGAGAAGAAGACACAGTGACAGTGTGACATAGGGACAGAGAGAGAAAGAGACGGGGACTCGTGGCCCAACTGCTACGGTAACGACTACAACATGTCATATATCACAATGCAAACACGCGACTCGTTTCTTCCTGCGAAACACAGCTTTACGAGGCCGTCCAGGAGCGCGCACTAAACGGCTTTTTCGTCCTCATCGTCGTACACTAATTTGAGGCTGTAGTCGTCGGTGCTTTTCATGCGCTCGTACAAAGTCTCGACATTTGGCACAAGCGCCGGATTTGCCACAAATCGAAGAGACCACAACAGGTCGACGACGTCAGAGCAGCAGCTGCTACAGCACGCAATGCCTCACAAGTAGAGCATAATAGTTCCCATACTAATCCACGTAACATTACAGTCTCACTCGAGACGTCACGCGGGACAAGGACGACCCGATGAAGACCGTGGAGAGCGACATGGCTGCCCTACAGCTTAATAACACGTCCACGAACGACATCAGTGTCCGCGGGATGCCGTCTGTAGCGGAGATCTCGTCTATCTCGGAGAAGATCCCGCCGCCGGTCACTATCATTGGCCACGACAGCGATGTAGACGACGACGACGACGACATTGCGGGTCTCTTGCTGAGTATATTGGCCGAGGAGATGTCTCAGAAGAAGCGCAAGCGAAACCTGAAGAGCGCTGGACCCAGTACGACAGGTGTTCGTCATCGGAAGGCGCTGGCGCTGGCGTTACCGGATGGCGAACAGAAGCGGGAGAAGAATCGCGACTCGGTCAAACGCTCGTACTATCGCAAAATTGTACGACCGCCTCTTTAGCATCTATTGCAGGGATAACATGGCTACAAACCGGTTGATGCGGTGAAGCTGATTGGGTTGTAAGTTTATGCTGTCTATTGCTGCAGGAGACGCTTGATGAATTGAGAAAACACGCTGAAGATCTGCGGGAGCAGTACATGGAACTGTTGACTCAATGGGAAGACAAAACCGAGAAAGAGAGGGCCGAGATCGCTCATTCCCCGTCAAGTTTTATGCGAAGTTACTTGGAACTTGCCAGGCTGCGTGATCGACTTTGGATGGAGAACACGCAGCTCCACGAGCAGTTTGAGGATCGTGAAAAAATCACGTATCGTTTTCAGCGACTCTTTGACGTCAACTACCAGCTCATGAACCACTCGTTTGCAGCACCGACGAAAAAAAAGACGCCGAGCGTCGTGTACAGACACCGATGCTTATCATGGACGAGATGTCGTTCGAGAGCTTCAAAATGTTTGCACAGGATGCACAACGCACGTTTGAAACTTTTCTTGCGAGTCGCCATTGCATGGTCACGACCGAGACGGCACTTGGATGGACTTGTTCCCACGTGGCCAAAGACAACTCGTTTGGCTACTACTTTGAGAAGCACTTTCAGCGCGATATGTACAAAAGTGTGTCGGAAGTTGTGCGCACAGCATGGCAAACACTCACATCACCTGAGAGACACTCGAAGCTGTACGCGCCGGCACTGCACACGCGATTTCACATCATGCAGCAGTTTGACAACAACAGCTACGTGTTGTACCGTACAATGGAGAAGGAGGGGGAGGACTCGATCACTACGGCGCTTATCATTATGTCGCGCATCCCACATCCAAATTACTCGGGCTGCCTCATCATCTGCAAGGGTCTCCGCCGTGAGGAACACACGCTACATGTGGAATTTAGCGAAGCCATCGCGTTGCAGAAGAAGAAGGAGTGGCGACAATCGATGTACTGGCTCAATATCGAGGAAGTACGCGTCGGCGACAAGAATGGTGCGAGTCACGATGGTCTGAACGGGATAAAGAAGATGCTAAAGGTTGTACACGGCGGCATCATGAACAACATGGGCGATCGTAGTCGCTCGTTTTGGCTGTTTCAGAATCTCCAGATTGCCTTGCGATGGGAGCAGAATCTTGGTCTAGGTGAATCGCTGGGCTGACGATCTTGGATGGAAGCCACGTTTGGCGATTGAGATCCAAGTCTGGACATCGTGTCTGTATCCTGTGGCTGGACCGAATTTGGTGACTTGAGATGCAGGGAACGAGTCAGCATGAAAGCGGTGTCATGTCGGCCGCAAAGCACTGCGGACAATCGAAGCGCGTATCGCCAAGAAAGCAATGCTGTGAAGACATACCCGATGACATAAGAGATGAAAGCGCTGGTTCGACGGTAGTCACCTCACAGTGCGTCAGCCATACGCAAAAGTGACGACGCGAGAGGTGAATGACAACAGTTGTAGTTACTAGGAACATATGTATGTACACTAGATACACTAAGCTTGTACATTGCGCAGTCGAACACGTCACGACGATCCTTAGGACACAGAAACAACAACGGTCTCTTGATATACCACCTGCTGACTCACTGTACTTGCACTTAAGGCTTTACCTGTTGTCCGTTGATGGCACTCGCTGCCTTTTACATACATAGTTATGACTCGACATACCTCAGATATCACGTCGTCGTCAATGTAGTTGCCTTTTACCAGTTCAAAGTTATGCAGCGCCACAGCCGTCTAAACTCCGATGTTACTGCGATCTAAAAAGCACGAGTGTGTCACGGCGCCATATAGGTGACCAAAGTGTTGATAGGCTAAGAAACGAACGATCTCGCCCACCTCGCAGTCCAATCTACATGAAGAAGCGCGAATGAATGCAGCGATTGTATATAGGCAGTTGTTGCAATGCACTAAGCAAATTGTACACTTCGGGTTCACTCGGCATGTCTGTAGCCTCTTCAGATAGAAGTGCACCAACGAGAGGAGCCATGATCAAGCTATTGTTGCGAGAGTCAAAACTATGTTCGCAAGAAACGAGAGTGACTGCTACAGTCGACTTGCACGGAAGAGATACTTTGGGACTTTCTTGCGACAACGCGCATGATGTGGTCGACTTCGCTCGCTTCACTGTCATGATCGAGATATCAAAAACGCTGTGCAAAGAATAATGCAGAGCAAGACATACCAACTGGGACTCATGGATAGCGTTACGTTTGTAAAACGACGCTGACAAATGCAAACTAATTGCTGGGTAGAAGCACACATCAATGTGATGCTGATGAAGAAATAAAGGCTACGGCGCTTCTTGTCTGCGTGTTGCGTCCGTGAATGTGCTTATGCGTTTGTAAAATCATCGTAATGAAGCGTCCTGTACACTGTCAATCGACTGCGCAGAAGCGGCTTTGTGACGTGCGTGGCATGAGTAGTAATCACTACTGGAAAGACGCTGTGGTGCTGCTGCTTTTGAACCTCCTATGTCATTGAATGATAGTTGGTCAACAATTTGTCACTGCACTTGAGAAACAGTCGTGGCGAGCATAACGCGTGATTCATTTAGTTCATTTGATTCGGAATGTGTCTAGTGCCGCGCAACGGGCTCTCGCGTAGCCTAAAGTGAGATTATCAGACGCACGTTCATCAAATGTGCCGAGGCATTGACTCTTTCATACGCTCGTTTGGCCTTCTCCTGATACATACATATCCTTTGGACTTGGAATCGATAAGTTTTGTAGCGATTCAGTGGCGAGTTTACACAGCTCGACCTCGATGCAGGTCTATATTTTACAAGACGAGTCCGTCATGGATGACCTGCGAGTGTGTCAGTGTAGCTTGTGGGTCTTTCGGTGAACGTCAAGACGTATGACGGCAGCAATACGCTTTGTGCATCTTGGAGTATGTCAAACATCGAGTGGAATGACTCTTTTGCATATACGGAGAAGTGTAAGGACAAACAACTTCAATGTTGATAAGACGCGCTTTGGACGCGACACGTGTGAAAAGGGGCGTCACGTACACTCATTCATATCGTACGCCTGCAAATTGCATGTAAGAGCGCCGAAGAGATTAGTAGCACAGGCGATCGAGATTGCCGTGTACCTCGCAATATCTTGGTAGGAGGACGACATGTATTCGTGAATATTGCTGCCCATAGATGCCTTGCTGAAAGGTGGAAGCAACATGAGCAAGCAGGGAAGTGATGGATACAGCTGGGACCACGGGCGAAGCATGTTCTTACTTAATGAGCACCAAGCGATTGATGTTCTCGCCTAGTAGACTTGTGCAGAAGTAGTCTTGATAGCTATTCACTAAGTTTGCCAATGCTTACGATAATTATCGCAGAGTGAGGCAATTCGGATGCAAACGAAACAACTCAACGTCGCAGAATGGTCGTAATGCTGTAGTAGCCGAGGCGATGGCAGTAGCCACATATCAGCATTTAGCTCAAACGTCCAAGGAAGAAATGCATTTCCTGTAGGTGAGTCGCCACTGTTGTAGCAACTTCTTGCTCTTTAGCAAACAGTCACTCGAATACACGGACTGCACTACGTACACTCCGTGTAACTTTAAAAAAAACCACCAACACAATCTCAAAACATACGCCGGTCAATAGTACGCCCGACCTTTGCTTGTCCAGCTTCAACTTCATCGTTCAAAAAAGCGTGGCATTGGTTTTATCGTATGGTCCGTAAGGTGCTATCACGAACAATGCGACACGAACACGTTCCTCTGCACTAGCCACGGGAGAATCGAAGGCTCCTGGTCTGCACTTCATTCCTGCTCCTCCCAATTCAAGGTTCGCTCGACAGCTTTGCTCCACTGATGGAGTAAATGACTGCGCTTCTTAGGCTCCATATCCGGCTTCCAAGTGGTGCCAACCTGCCACTTCTCACGCAACTCATCCTCTGTCTGCCAGAAGCCAACAGCCAGGCCAGCAGCGTACGCTGCGCCGAGCGCCGTCGTCTCGGCCACTGCAGGACGCGTCACTGGCACATTCAGCACGTCTGACTGGAACTGCATGAGCGTATCGTTCACCACCATTCCACCGTCAACCTTCAGGTTCGTAAGATGTACGCCACTATCGTTTTCCATGGCTGCCACCACCTCCTGCGTCTGGAACGCAGTGGCCTCTAAAGCAGCTCGACAAATGTGCCCACGGGTCGCATACGACGTCAGTCCGACCATCACACCGCGTGCGTCGTCCCGCCAACGCGGCGCAAAGAGCCCAGAGAAAGCCGGCACAAGGTACACGCCACCGTTGTCCTCGACTTTCTTCGCATACTCCTCAACCTCTTCGGCACTGCCAATCATCTTGAGATTGTCGCGTAGCCACTGCACGAGCGATCCAGCAAACGGGATCGAGCCTTCCAGTGCATACACAGCCGGCTGGTCGCCGATCTTGTAGCCCAAAGTCGTGAGTAGACCTTTGGTGGAAGGCGTAGGTGTCGTGCCCGTGTTCATCATGAAGAAACAGCCAGTGCCGTACGTGTTCTTCGCTTCGCCAGGACGGAAACAGGCCTGACCAAAGAGCGCCGCGTGCTGGTCCCCCATAACTCCCGCAATGGGAATGCCCGGAATCACACTGTCCTTGTGCCCTACAGCGTACACTTCCGAGCTCGAGCGAATCTCCGGCAGCATCGTCTTTGGAATGTTGAGACAGGTCAAGATCTCGTCGTCCCACTGGAGCGTATCGAGGCGCATGAGGTTCGTGCGCGAGGCGTTCGTCACGTCCGTCACGTGGACGCCGCCATCGACGCCACCGCTCAAGTTCCAAATGAGCCACGAGTCGATCGTACCAAACAGCGCGTCGCCGGCGTCGGCTTTGTCCCGCACAGTGGGTACGTTTTCCAGCAACCAGAGCAGCTTCACCGCTGAAAAGTACGTAGCAACTGGAAGGCCCGTCGTCGCACGAAAGCGGTCGCTGCCGCCATTTGCCTCTGGTCCAGTGCCGCCTCCGCCGCTGCTCTTCAGCCGGTGCACAATCGCCTGCGTCCGCGTGTCGTGCCACACTATGGCGTTGTACAGCGGGCGCCCCGAGCGGCGGTCCCACACGAGCGCTGTCTCGCGCTGATTCGCGATCCCAATGGCCGTCAGCTGCGCGACGCTCGAGGCGGAAAGCGCCGCCCGCACGCACGTCTCGACGTTCGCCAAGATCTCCTCCGGGTCGTGCTCGCAGTATCCGGGCGCTGGGTAGAGCTGGCGGTGCTCGCGCTGGTGCGCGGCGGCGACGCGGCCCGCGTGGTCGAACGCGAGGAAGCGCGAGCTCGTGGTGCCCTGATCGATGGCGCCGATGTACGAGGGGCGAGCGGGGGGCGCCATGCGCGAGCGGAGAGCGGCGGCGGCGCGGGGGACGGACCGAGTGGATGTGTGCGCGTGCGTCTTTTCAAGATACGTGTGAAGTGACGGCATGGGAACAGTGGACTTTTTTGGGCGATAGATGGATCGATCGATCGATCGATAGATAGATAGATGGGGGGAGATGGCTACAGTAGTATTGGTCTATGACTGTCGAGAGGGATTTTGGGATACGACGACGGAAGAGGAGAGGACGACGGCTGGTGCCCTCTGTCCAGTCATATGGGTACGCTTTGTACGGACGAGATGGGGGGAGGAGGTTGTGACCGAAAAGCCAGTCGTCGAGCTAATGTAGCTTCCTTTGTGCTCCTTACGCACGTGCTTGTACGAAGTAGACTCGGGGGAAACGACAAGGCAAGTAGTCTGTGTTTGGATGCGATGACGCTGCTAAGATGATTGACGAGTTGCACGAATCAAAGCAACGAGTGTGGGTTACCCGTAACGTGGGGTTTTCACCTTGCAAATCACGTCATCCAACCTTCTGGTCAATTCCACAAACATATTGCATCGCTGTTGTCATTGGTGAGGATTGATTGACTATTATCGGCAAGTCCAAGCGTGCCAGCGTGAGGGTCAACCGCTGTGATACCTCTAGTTCAGTGACTACGGTACAGACTCCCAGTCGATGCAGATAGATATTGCATACTCGAAGAAACTGTTTTTCACATTTCTTGACATGCTGGAGACGAGTGTATGCTTTGACTTTGTACGTGTCAACCTATAATAATCGATTTGTCACTCTGTAATGAAACCTTGAACAAAGCTACGAAGCACGCGCTGCAAGCTTACAACAATTATGTTTACTCCATCATTCCCGGCAACGTATGCGGGAGAATTGACACACTTTCGTCAACCCTCATCGCCAAAGTTAGCAGCACCAGCTGCAGCTGTTCCTCGTGCACTGTGGTCCCACTCACTGTTTGGTTGCTCACCGTTGTTTCGGTTTCTGAGTGTAAATCCACTCGTCCGGTCGACCAGTTGCCGCCGTCAAGCGGTGTCGTAAAGGTATCGAAGAAGCAAGTATGAACATGTCTGATCATAACCTAGAGTCAATATGTACAATGCAAGCAATTCGTGCCATTTGGTGCATGGTTTTACTTGTAAATTATTGCGAGCTAAAAATCAAGACATTACTAAATGTGCATTTGGTGACGACCATACTCTTACAGCTACATCAATACGTCTGCCAGTCTATGCGTGTATCGGTCTGACGTCAATATGAATGGCTGTGAGTCTCGGGGGGGGGGGAGTTGCCCGATTTTGTATGGTTTATCAGAGGCTATATTTGTAAGTGAACAGCGCACTTCTGGCGTCACCGTTTGGTAGCATACGTATCAATACTGTAACGGGGCAGCCCGTTACATGAAATTGTCACTTTAAGGAAAGTGACAATAAAGAATATAAAGATGGATATTCTTTAAACAATATCACCAAAGTGGTGATATTGAAGGGTCGACCAAAGGGTCTGTTCATTGGTTGATATCGTGATGATATCAACCCACCAATCGCCGCAAGACGCGCGCAATGAGTGGTGACGAGACGTCACCATACATGCAGTTATATTAGTATAATTGAATTAAGTCAAACGAAGAGACAGTAGTTTAAAGACTTAATTCTATTAATATAACAGTTCTACTTTTACCCTACCTACGCTTCCTCGCTTGCCACGTGTACGTCCGTCGGGGCACCCAAATCCCTTGCGTTAAGTTACGCAAGGGTGTGCCCCGTTACACCTGGTAGCACTTTGTAGTCCTTCCAAGGACCACATCATCCAACATGTTCATGTTGGATGGAGAAGACACCTTTCACGCCACGCGTGAAGGGTTTACCCATTTGAGTGACATCGAATGGGGTGCGGTAGAACGAATGAGTTCTACCGTAGGCGAACTCGTCGTTAGCACCATGTTGGAGTCTCTAGACAGAGACCAACAACATGCCGCTATTGCCAAGTTCATTCAGAATGAACTTGCTCTCGAGAGGGAGAAAGTAGCCTTGCTTCACCAGCAAGGCTCTCAACAGGCCGAGCAGTTGAGAGAACTCGGTGCTCAACAGACGGAGCTGTTGAGACAGCAGCAATTCCATGCTGCTGTGGGCGGGACGGCGCATGCGCGTCGTCCCGAAGTCATGAAAGTTGACATCTCCAAGTACAGTGGAGTCCCGGAGGACTCCCTGTTACTATGGTTTGTCGAACTCGACAGAGCACTAAGGGCTCGTCGCGTCGAAGATGAGCAAATGAAACTCACATTTGCTCAGACCCACTTGGCAGGGCGTGCCAAAACTTGGTCCCTGGGACTCGAGAGTAGCGACCCAAACGTGTTTAGGTCGCTAGATGACTTCAAGTCCCGGCTCAGACAAACGTTTGAGCCGCCACGTGCTGAGTTCAGGGCTCGCTCAGAGCTCCTGAAACTCAAGCAGGGTAAGCGTGATGTGCACGCTTACGCACAACATATACGACTCCTTGCGAGTAGTATAACTGCTAACCCAGTTCATGAACACACGTTGATTACGGTGTTCATGCAAGGGCTCGCAGAAGGGCCCGTCAGGAGCCATCTGTTCCGCCTTGAGCTGAATACGCTTGAAGAAGCGATATCAGCCGCGGAACAGGAAGACTTTAGCATGAGACAGGCTCATGCTAGCTCAAACTCTTACCGTCCACCGAGACGATAAGAGATCGGAGGTCCAGAACCAATGGACCTCTGCTATGTTGAGAGCGAGAGACCTCGCTCTACAAACAACAAGCGATTGCAGAGGTGCAATCGCTGTCAGAAGTTAGGGCACTACGCATACGAGTGTAGTGCTCCACGCCCAGTACCAAACAGTATTGAGCGAAATGGACTACCATTCGCCAGAAAGGGCAATGGGCGTGGGTCCAGCGCTGTTGCGAAGCCGCAACAGCGAGACGGACCATCAAAAAATGGTCGGGGTCAGTAGGGGCGGAGCACCCTACTGATCCAGCAACCTCAAGAGAATTTGCAAATCTCTTGACGAAAGTTGCTCCAGATACACAATCATTGTGTGTCTCTGCACCTGGTGATGACGTTTCGCTCATCACCTTGAAGTTGGAAGCGACAAATGATTTGTCGCTTCGTGCCCTAGTAGACTGTGGGGCGTCGAACAACTTTGTTCGTCGCCAGTCACTAGAGGGTCGTAGGCTCAAGTTCGTTGAGCGCGACATTCCCCTCACAAGGATGACGGTGCGCCTTGCAACAGGCGCATCGATAACCGTTGAGAAACGTGTAGTAGGAATCCACTACACGTTAGAGGGCGAACAGTACGATGATGACTTCATCTTACTAGATCTGGATGACAAATTCGATGTCATCCTGGGATTACCTTGGCTCAGAAAGTACGAGCCAGGGGTGAGCTGGCAGCATCGATCCGTGAAGATGCCTGCTGCTTGTTCATCAGATGGCCATCTGATGAACATCTTGGAGCGTCCACAAGCGTGTGGATGTTCTGCGAGTGAGTGCGATGGCCTCACTTGCGGTACGGTCGTTAGCACGACTGCACAAGATCACAGTGTAGTTGATCACTACACTGTGGAGCAAGCTCCCGGCGGCTGTACAGATGCACAGGCTGCGTCGAAGGTCCACCACTCGAATAAGTCGAGTGGACCGGGACATGGATGCATGCCTAGCGGGCAGCATCTTAGAAGAAAGAAATCTGTTGCCCCCAAGGGGCAACATGAAAATCCTAGGTCGACTGGAGAGTCGACCGTAGAGGATCGGTTCCTGACTGTGGTTGCACAGCCACAGTCGGAAGACGTCGAGGGAATAAGTCCCCACGTACTTGAGGAAGGAATTCCTCAAGAGTCGCTTGCTGAGGGATTAGGCCCTCAGCAACCTGTGGAAGCAAGTTCCCAGGAAGAAACCGAGACGTTGAACGTCTTGGTTAATGACGGATCAAGCGTAGGCGCTTATACGCTTGATCTGATTGTGCCTCCGAAGTTGACTTCGGAGATAACTCAGTTGCCAACGCTAGAACCGAAACGGTTCTTGAGTGATCTGCGTAGTGGCAAAGTCAAGCAGATCTGCATACTCGTCGCAGAGGATGAGTATGTGACCGACATTCGGTCGGCAACAGTATTTGCTGAGAACGAACGGGTTCTCAGCAGCTCATCGATGGATGAAAGTGTCCTCGATGAGAAGACTCGGATTGAGCGATACACGTCTCAATCCTGGGAGTCACTTCAGGCAAATCCTTTGTATAAGGATTTGATCGAATTCAAGATGGTGTTCCTGGATCCGTGCCATGTGATTTGCCTAAGAATTATGTCACTCGACACGAGATCCAGCTCAAGCCGGGCTCGAAGTACTGTGTCATGAAGCAGTGGTCACTGCCTCGTGAACAAGTAATAGCGATCGACAAGTTCTTTGCCGATCGCTTAGCAGCGGGCCATGTGAGGGAATCAACATCCCCTCACAGCTCTCCGACCTTCTGTGTGCGAAAGGCCACAGGAGGGTGGCGGATAGTGCACGCATTCAACAAGTTGAATGCTGCAACGGTACCGGCTCAGACGCCGATACCGAAGAAGGACGTAATCATAGATGGTATGTCAAAGAGTACCATCTTTTCGTCCATGGATCTGATGGATGGATTCTATCAGATCCTGATGCGTGAACGGGACGTCCCGCTCACGGCAGTGAGTACCCCCAGCGGGATGCTGTGGGAGTGGCTAGTGATGCCACAGGGGGCGAATAATGCCCCTGCAACATTCAACAGATGTGCAACAAATCTGTTGAGACCGGTGCGAGACTTCGCACCAAGTTACTTCGACGATGTGTTCGTCCATAGCCGGGCTATGGACGGAAAGACGGACGTTGAAGTTCACAGAACTCACGTTCGTCAGGTTCTTCAACTTATGCGCAAGTATAAGTTGTACGCCAACCTCAAGAAGTGTATATTCGCGGCTAGCGAAATACCACTTCTTGGGTGCATCGTGGGTAAACACGGCGTACGCCCTG